GGTGGCACATCCACGCCCTCAAGAGGGGTATCCTTAAGTAATTGAATCTTGGTATCTTGTGCTGCACCATTAACTGATGAATTTTTAAATGTGGCTCATCTGCCGGGTCCCCTTGTCTTGCCATTTCAGGACTGATATTTGATTATAGGCATAGTCTCATCCCTAACTATGAGTTTTCAATTACCTTTCACACTCACCCAACATTTGAAGATAGAAAAGAATTGTTTTTATGACAATTAGTCTTATAATAAAGAAACGTTAGCTCCTCTACATATTACCGTATGTGAGTTTCAAAACAAAATTGATAACCAAGATAGTCGTTCTTCGGCAATATTTTCAAGATGAATGATTATATATTGCGTAGTTTCATCAATTTCTGTAACCATAAACATTGTCGCTGGAAGCAATAATACTTCTGCTTCATTTTCATATTCGGAAACACATGGAAGTTCATTAGAAATTTTTCCTAAATTAATTGCAGTATCACATGTTTCAGGAAAATTAAATATCATCAAAGCACTGCGTTTTCCATCATTTGACGGGTTTGTTCCAGCAAATCCTTCAGCTACATAACGATGAACTGAAGTCGAGCAGAATGTTAATGTTTCAATGGCACCTTTGTTATTCAGTGCCCATCGATATGCACGTAAATTATGGTCTGTTAGCTTCATGCCACGATAGGATTTACCTCGAAAATAGCGTGGTTTTAATTTATGTAATGATGCACACAATGGTTGCCATAGTGGGTATACATCGTCAGCTAGTGCGCGATACAATGGCGTTTCAAGAGTATACAACCGAAGTAAGTTTTCAGGTTTGTATTCATTATCAATATCTAAGATTAGCATGTTTGCTTTTTGGAATTCGCGATGCTCCTTAGGAATATGCTTCCCAACAAATACATCAAGATTCTCTATGAACGGTTCATCAATGGGGAGCTTTTTATAAAGATAGCTGAGCGTTGACATCAACCATTTTGTTTGCCAGATTCTCAACAGAATTGCTGCATGTCGTCTGTGTTTTTCAATCTCTTCGAGTGTTTTATAACTCTGCAACCATTGGTCTTTGTCAAACTTTTCACAATCATGTTTTTCTGTATCTTCTTTTTTGAGGACTCCAAAAATTTTCCCAGAATCTTCATGATCATCATCATTCTCGGGACAAAATCGATTTCTACCATCAGGCCGATGAAAGAGTCTACGAACTTCCTCCGAAAATGCTTCTTCATAAGCAGTCAGTCCATATCGATTGCGACGATCTCGCCGACAACCAAGTTTGTTTAAAAGAAGACGAACAATTTCAACATGACCACCATATGACGCTGCATGAAGTGCTGTACTTCCATTTGGTTCAAGTTGGTTTAGATCCTCGTAATGAATAGTGGCAATAAGTTCCCTAACACGTGTGAGATCACCGTTTCGACAGGCCCAATAAAATTCACTTGCTTCACCTAGTTGTGGTTGATGAGGAATACATTGTCCTTGCTTTTGGATGCTGTCTGTATTTCCCATGCTAACGAATATTTAACTACGAAAAAGAATTACATAGACGCTTTTATATAGATTTCAACGGCGGTTTGTCTTTATTTGGTAACAAATGCTTTTCTTTACAGTTCTTATGCATCAAAGATAAAGGGTGCGGGTGTGGGTGTGGGTGTGTTCTCTCCATGACAAGATCTACATCCACACCCATCCATACCTCACATCCTTGAATCATTTTTCTCCATAGAAAAGTGAGGTACATCAAAATAAACGAAGTCGGAATCTTTCATATGACACGGATATATATATAATCTATCCCAATTACAGTTAGCTAGCAGAGGCTGAAAACGAACCCAACCCGAAGCAGTTTTTAAAAAAGCAAAGGCAAACTGAAATGGACTCATGTTGATAAAAGTTGATTCGGTTTGGTCTCTTACTTATCAGATGTGACCTAACATTTGAGGAATATTACATCTCACTTTCACAAAAACTTACCATATTGAACTTTATCAAGGGCGTAGCAGATAAAGATCGAAATTATGCAGCCAAGGATGTAAGTTTGAATGAGATGAGAACAGTCACTTTTGCTTAGTGTTATTATGAGGTGGTTAATATTCTGATTGTTGAATAATCTTATATACTCATATATACAAAGGAAATTTCTTTGGTAACTCGAGAAGAAAAATAGAATGATATACTAATCAAATATTGTTTTAAAGCATGAGCCAATTTGTATCGAGAAAAAATTCAAAGAGATACCATATTTTTATAAAACAGCCAATATGTATGGTCTCACGTTTCAAAATAGTATAGAATTTCTATGTGTCAATTTTTATGCTAATAAAAGAATGGATGATGAAAAAAGAGGCTTCGCCGAAAACCAAAGCATTCACTTTTACCATGTCATTGACTAAAAACTATAATATCATATATCAAGGGGTATATTTACGAGTTTCTTGTAAATTCTTAAGCCTATTAACTTGCGTTTTAATATACTACTATTATCACTTGCTGGATTAACGTCAACATAGTAGTGGCTAATTTATTCCATTGTTATCAAAATAGAAATCTATCTTTGTTTTCCGAAATAATTTAAGGCTTCCTCTTATCTCTGTAAATGTAATTATCACATAGATCTTACTTGTTCAATAACAGGACTGTCCAATCCGAGCGGATTCGGACTGTTACCCTCACCAATAATTGAAAATTTCTTGATTTCAATTAATAAAAAAATCGTTTACAAATAGGTTTAGTCAATATTTAACATCCAAAGAAAGACCTAGTTGGCAAGAAGGCATGCTGCTTGGGATTCATTGAATCATCTCTTTTCCTTCTCTGTCTATTAATTTTCGAAGTTGCATAGTGACGATTGATCTTACTTGATTATGGTGATGACTGTTCTGTTTCACCTATGACTTTCACCGTCTCATTTTCAAAAAAAAACGGCTTATTACAACTTATCAAGAGATATAAATCCATTACAAGTCCTGAAGAGTACTATCTTATCAAAGATCCGAAACCCGTCGTCAAAATCATAACTCTGCATTATTTCTTATAATTATTGTTGAGTATCAGAAGAGAATTAAACATTACATTCGACTATTTTTATCAGTTGGTGAAAAAGAAAAGCTGAGAGAGAGCATATTGATTTGTCTTTCAGTTACAAGAAAGGTTGGCCTGTTATCAAACTAAATTGATTTCCTCAAATTATTATTGAAGAGTTTCGAATTGAAATATAGTAATAGATTGTTAACATGCCTGATGAGTCCCTTAAGCAAGGTCGAAGCGCGTCGTGTGATGGCTTTCAATAGAAAATATCTTTAATAAATTCAGTAAAGGGTGGGTGTGGGTGTGGGTATCAGTGGGTGTCGAAAAAGAAGTAGTCACACACGCACACACTTAAGATGTTGCTCCCGAGATTATTCGGGTAGCTCGACATTTTGCACCCCGCCGATTTCATGGTGAATGTTAATAAGGATAAATTCTATGGATCGCGTTGCATGCTCTCAATTTATTACAAATGGTATTTATTAACTTTTTCCTTTTTCTATAGTTATCAACCGTTCATGAACCCAGAAAAATGAACTAGAAAAGAAATAGATAGCATAGAAAGAATTCATGCTCTACCGTAGTCTCATCAGAAAACACAAGTCACTGGTATCGGAGAAGAACTGTCTTTTAACTTATAAAGGGGTGAAATCACAACGAATCCTATCCACCTGAGTAAAAATCCGAAGAAACATGAAGAAAGAAAATTGAAAACTGCAAACATTCATCAACTAATTTAATATGATGTTTTGCATCAGATACTTGATCTATATCTATCAGATATGGATAGAGAACATAAGCTAACTTATCCCGCATTTCTCTGTAAATTCAAGAAATATTTCCTTGCAATTAATGAAAGGAAGTAACATAGACTTACTGATTTGATTTCGATATGATAATTGATGGCGATCAGATATCTAAATACAGAAAATCAATTTCAGATTGATTTGGAAAATTTAGCTTCTATTCTTGAAGTGGCAAGATATTTTAGAGGAAACGTACAGAAAAACAGATATTATACTGTATCTTTCTATTTTTCTGGGATTAAGTGCACGATATTTGTTAGAAAAAAAAGAATACCACAGTAATGAATTCTATTTCCATGAGATGATAATCGCTCAAAAATCGGTGATTTTATCGACATTTATTGTTCCAAAATCGTGAGATTATATTGACATTAAATGTCCAAAGACAACGATTTTTGTCGATTTTTCTCGCAGTTTTATTGAAAACTGTTTCATTATTCTTACATAGATTGACCCATAAACAACCCTATTACGAAAATAATGTAATGCTTCTACATTCATCAAATCGATGGCTGTATTTATATAAGCTGCAAATGATTCAGACTCTTTTTTCCCACAGATAAAGTTACCAAATATTATTGTTAAGAGGGGTCACGACCCTCCACTTTTTCGATTCAATAGCCTCATTCGATAGAGCATAGCTTTTTACATATATCCTCCAATTTTGACGTTATTTGGTTCCACCTGGCCCGAGTTATAGCGGTCACAAGACTGGGTTTTTGACCAAAAATTGGCTCCTGGGTGCGTCTAGTCTTTGACCGGTTTCAGACATAAAGTAAAA